CCCAGAACAACTCTCTGGATCCGCCACTGACTAAACGCTTACATTTTATTAAATAATTCGGACTATAGTAATAACAGAGTGGTAACAATAGATTGTGTCATCCAAATTTATGATATATTTGACATGTGTAATTTAATTAACTTGTTAGAACTGTTTTTTCTTTGCTATACAATTATGGCTATAGAATTAAATAAAAAATTACGTCACAATCAGGTAAATAAAATTCATATTTAACAAAACAATGACGATAATTCTTGACTAATTTTTTTAGATTGCAAAGAAGATATTATGTATGAAATATATACATACATATATACATGCATATATAAAGATTAAATGATATATATGAAAAAAATGTAATACTTAAAATGACTATAAAGAAATCGTGAAAAAAGCAATAAATATCTTAACATAATTGAAGTCAAAGTAATTGTAAAAAAATTCGGTTTATTTAAAAACGTTCCAACTAAAAATTACTTAATTTTCGCGGTTGGAGATTGAATCTATAACGTGAAATCGTTTTAAAGTAAATTTATGTATCTCTATACTTCATTGCTTTTTCACGTTTCCGAAAATTTTGAAACATATTAAGGCAAAGCTTGCCTCTCGTCGCATCATTAACTTTCTAGAAACGTACAGTTAGCAAAGTTCATGATGAGTCGAGTTCGAAAATTCTCAACAAGATCAGGTACTTGCTAAAACTCGTTTACTTGAATATTTTCGATTATCCGTGCCATATTAAAAAATTGTATAATGAAATGCAATAAGAAAATTAACAAAATGTATAATTGTTTTTCAGAAAATTTAATAAGATTTGGCAAGCTGAGAAAATAAATATCTGACTAGACTAAAAAATCGGATAATCGGAAATTTCAAGTGTTCACATGCTCCTATAATATTTTACTATTTATTATTGTAAAGGAGCAGCACCGAAACACACTGTACACATAGATACGAGTGCGTATTTTTTTTTTCTTTCAAATTTAATTTATACATCGTGATCATAGACGTAATAGATGTGCGGTCCCTATTTAATTATTAATCTTAATATTTGCGATCCGTTAGAAAAAGAACACAAAATTAAAGCGTATCTCTTTTTAAATCGTTTCTCCTCGAGTGGGGAATGTAATAGAGGGAAAACTGATTTATAACCCTTTGTTATCATATCCCTTTGTTATAATATCAATAATCGTCATATTGATATTTTAAATAGAGACAGAACTATATTACAGATATGATCGGGATCGTTATTTAAATTATATTTAAAACAATTAGACAGTACGTATGTCAAACTTTTCGTTTACACATTTGTACTGTCTCTTTCAAAAGAATGTCGTAGGGCACATCACTTATATTTTGAGGCCTGGGTGAATTGTTTCCCATATTGTCTGTCAAGAAAATAGAATTGCCATAAGTACGAGAGGATAAAAAAAACTTTGGCATATTTATGTGTACGATACATTAATAATATAATTGAGTTTTTTACCAAGATCGGTGTACGTGGATTTGCAGAAGACTCTACGTCCCCCGAAAGATAGGTCGTATCTCGGTAAAGATGGATCGTCATTACCGTGCTCCACGGCACGGTACGCATCGGTGTTGTATTTAAAAGTGACGAAACCATAATTATCGCTGAAAATAGAATATCGCACACATTGTAGACGAGAGAATAGTACAATTTTATGAAAATAATATAAAACGAATTATATAGAGTGAAGGTACGTACCCACGTTCACGAAAATGTAGACTGATATTTATAACAGGTCCGAATGTCTCAAATCTTCTACGTAAATCAGCTTTGGTAATTCCTTCCTCTATGCGTCCTACGAATACCACTCTTCGTTCTTCCACTTCGCTTTGCTTCTCCCTGTCGTACCAATTGTCGTAGGGTTTGTGATAGTTACGTGGTGATCTACCAGAAACAAATTATTGATTAGCTCTTGACACCAGTTTTAAAAACATTATTTTTCAAAAGTAAGTTCTTATTTTCCATTTTTTTTAAATACGTATAATTTTATAAACATTTTAATAATAAGTTATAAAACATTGTGGAAAATAAGAATCTTCAATTAAGTAGCGATAACGCTACTTAAAATTGAACACATAAATTGTACAAAGAAATTTGTTAAATGAATTTCGATCATCCGATTTTTTAATCCAATCAAATATCCGTATCAATAGAAATTGCATCTGTGTATATCGAAAAACATATTTTACCTGTTTCTGTGGTCGTAACGATAGGCGAAGGAACGTCTCTCGTATCTGTCGCAGCTTCTTTCACGATTCTTCCTTTCGTGACTAGACGATCTGCCCCTTCTAAGACTCGAGGGAGACCTGTTAATCATTTTTATGAGAATTTTCAACATTTCAAATCAATCCTGTTCGCAAGGCTAAAACATCCTTAATCTCGTTCATTATATAATTCTAATTCCGGAATCAATTCTTTATTTACCTCGAACGACTGGAATAATATCGCCCGGAAGATCGAGATCTGGATCTGGAGCGGACACGGGAGCGAGATCTGGAACGTGACGAGTATTTTGATCTCGAGGAAGACGACCAACTGGTGACCGAGCTGCGTCGATGACTTATTGTTCGTCGGCGGGTGTTGCTACGTCGACGAGATCTCCTATTCCTACTGCTGCTTCTGCTTCTGCTTCGGCTTGTGCTCCTACTACTTGGATCACTGCTACTGCTTCTGTTCCTATTTCTAGCTCTGCTCTTACTTCTCCTGCTTCGACTTCTGCTTTTACTCCTGCTTCTGCTCCTCCTTCTATCCCTACTCCTTCTCCTTCGACTTCTACTCCTGCTTCTGCTTCTGCTTTTTGATCTGGATCGACTCGAACTGCTGGATACCCTTTTGTCTTTTCGCCCATCTTCACGATTATTCTCAAGTAAATTATCTTTCATTTTATTTTCCAAGACTGCTAGTTTCTCACTAGCGTTACATATATTAGCCGACTCCAAATTGCACTGTTTGTTTGAGCCGATATTGTGATCTTCGCTTTCGTAGGACTTTTGTTTATTCCTCGTACTTTCTTGCCTATTGTGATATTATAGAAATTATTATAATATAATTATTATATAATAATAATAATTATTATTATTATAATCTTGGAGTCCTGTCTGCAGTAACCGTTGCTGTCTTCACAGCCTTTCGCGCTCAGCTTGATAGCGACTGTTTTTATTTAACGTTACAATATACGTTCTCGCTTATTGTATTATTAAAGTTAATAATAATATTTAATACATTACCTTTTTTCATCGTTCTTCTCAAGATCTTCAACATTTTCCTTCATTGGGTTTAAAAATTCGAAGACAGGTTCATCTGTTCCTATTTTTATATCGCGAGTAGATGGTTTTGGCTTGTTTTTCTCTTCGATTATTTCTGATATTTTTTTCGTAATCTGAGTGTACTCTCTCTCACAGCAAAACGAAGCCTTAGGATTATTTCTATTGATCGGTACATTCAAATTAGTTGAAACATGAAAAATGGCCACTAATTTCGTTGGAGATGGTTTTGCTGTTATTTTGTTATTGCGATTTTTATCCTTCCTGTTATAATATTCGTCTAGATTTAAAATTTTCTTTTTTTGAGGGGCGTTTGTCTCTTCTTTTTTATACAGCAGCGTGTCTTCGGTATTTTGTACAATTACATTTTCTATTTTGTTATTTAAACTGTCTGTAGTGGTCACTATATTTTCATTTAAATTATTTAATGACGACTGTGGTGCGTTTGGCGGATTCTTGAGTACGGAAATGTATTGTGTTTTAGAAATCGCAATATTCGTTTTAGAGAGTACACTCCTATGCGCTTGTAGATCTCTCTGAATAATTCTGTTAGCTAGAGCTGAACGTATGACCGGAAGAGATGTGGTAGGATGTTCGGCCATAACATTTATATCTTTAACAGATGATGAATTATTTGATGAGTCATCATCTGTTTCAGGTTGTTTCGAAGGAGTCTCTTTTTGACAGTCTTTACTATTATTTTCGAGCCAATTATCATTGATTTTATTTTTTAAGACTGATAACTTCTGCCTTGATTTCTGACTAGCGACACATACATTAGCCAGCTCGGAATTGCATTGTTCATTCGAATTGACATTATTGTCATGTTCTTCGAATTTGTCCCAGTTTTTATTTTGGCTCGATTTTAATATGGATGTGTGTTTCGCATTTTCTGCAGAAAAAGATGGGCAAATTTTTAATGTCTTTAATAATAAAATGGTTTACTCTGTTATTGTTGGATTGTCTAACACACTTACTGTTGCTATTGCAGCTCATATCGTTAGTATGAAAATTGGCATTACAATAATCGTGATCCAACTGAATCGAAGTACTACTGAATGATCTACTGTTAACATTGTTCAATACCTAAAAAGTCGTTATAATTAGTAGTGAAATATTTTGCAATATATGAAACAAATAGCAGAGATGGGCATAATCGATTACTTTGGTAATCATGATAATCATCCAAATTATTTAGTAATCAGAAAGTATGATTATACAAAATATGATTAGTATGATTATGAAAGTATAATATGGTAATCATACTTTCTGATTACTAAGTAATTTGGATTAGACTAATCATGATTACCAAAGTAATCGATTACTGTAATTAAGATTATAGGAACGGCTTGAATAGTCGAGTATCGCCCTTTTTTTCAGAGTGAAAAAATTATTTATATTTTATATAAAGTTGATGTGAAATAAATATTTTTTTTAACATTATGTTAAATGTTAATTACTATAAAGTTGAGCGTAAACAATTAAAAAGAAATATTATTTGACACATTACATCTTTTATTTTTACCTTTTTTTACACTTCTAATAACTTTAGTAATTAAGATTATATTTATAATTATATAATAATATATTATATTATAAATAATTAATATAATGCAATTATTATTATAATTGAGAATTTTCTGTAATTATTACAATGTAATTGTAATCAGTAATGGATTACAAAATGCCCAACTCTGACAAATAGTACATGCACGCACATGCATATTTAAATTGTGCTATATAACATTTAAAGTAAGGACTTACTGTAGAACTTGTCTTCAAAACCTTGTTAGAAGGAGCTCCGTCTTGCATTCGTGCACTACGATTTTTACCCTGTATATTTGGCATAGCAGCAATCGGAATAGTTCTTTTACGTTCCAATGGCTAAAATTCAAGATAATTATAATTAGATCATCATTAGATTATACTAGCCGGCTTCATTAAATTATGAAAATATTCATTCAGATAATTACTTTTATTTTGTTGATTACGTTTTTGGATAAGATCGAGGTCTGTACAACTGTCGGTTGATTGGAAGCTTGGGAAACGGATTTCTCCGTTACGTCGGTCCGGCACTCTTGAGTCACTCGACACGTTTTGTTCGATCTCGTGTCATAAATGTGATTATTTTTGACGGTCGATTTATTGCACAGATTTGAATTTTCAGAAGCCTCAAATTTTTCCAACAAACTATTTACATCGACTGCTTCCAGAACTGTAATAAAAAATAAATATCTTATTATTAGCAACATATTACAATGCCAATTTTTATCTAATAGTTCATAAAGTTAATCACACATCTGAATTGACTTAAATACCTGGTACTTCATCTTGTGGTATAGTTTCAACATCTATGCAATCTTCTTGTTCCTCTGACTTAATATTTAAATTTATTTTTGTAACTGAATCTTTTCTTTTATTTTTGCGTTTTGCATTTCGAGTTTTTCTCTTATTTAGTTCGTGAGTTAATACAGGCAGAGTTGTTGGACATTTAAATTCTGTTTCCTGTATTTCTTCTTGTACAGTGTTAACCTCTATGTCCGTTTTTACTGTATTATCAGTTATTTTAAATGGTATAATAGAATCTTCTTTAATATTAACTATAAAAAAAAGGTTTGCTCTTTATTTTTATGAAAATTAACAAGACGATAAAAAAAAATTTAATAATCATTGATAACAAACCAGTTTGTTGTTCTTCTTCTGTTATTATTGATTCAGAAGGATTATTATTTATTATCTGCAAGCTATCTACGTTAAAAAAATGATTTGCTATAAGAGACCTGTAGTAGTTGCAACGCTGTTTGGAAATTGCATCAATCTACAAATTAAAAAAGCATTTTATTATAACGCATAATTTTAAACAATGCAATTCATATACAATATTCGTTGTTAATTATAAAGAAAAAGCTTGCCTGCGAATCTGACATAAGTGTGTTGCTGGGATAGCGTTGCGGCGAATGCAGATCCGACAAGCTACATTTACAAAATAATAAAATGTACTTACATCTCGTACATATGTTACAATGATCATATTATAACGTTCTTAAATAAGAAATGTATACTTACAATACATTATTGTATAAAATGGAGTTGTCATATGCAATGACACTGTAATCATCTAATTCTTCTAAGTCATGGCTAGCTACATTCACCGGCATATCTTGAATTGTCTGCGATAAAATTTGAATTTTTTAATAATGCAAATGCATATTTATTAATAAATAAATTAATATAATGCTTTTTTTTTCTTTTTTTTCGTCTCTATGTTAACATATTTAAATCTTTTTTTTACTCTTTTCCTTATATAATTGATTATATTTCAATTTTTAATTTTGTAAATACACTCTTTCTCGATTTTATATTTTAAAATTTAATTTCTTTTAGTTACTTTTTAATTATCCTCTTGTAACTGTGAAAAGACTATATATTCAATATCATTTTTAGATATTTAGACATATTCAAAATTATTTTATAAGCCTAACTCAAAATGTGCAGGAAACAATCTACTCTCTTTTTAAATTAAAAGAATTTATATTTCCAAGTGCCTCTTAAATCTATAACCATCATAGTATATTCAAGTATGAAAATACATATACAAAGTTCTAAAAGAAATATTCAATATTTTAGAAAAATTCAATAAAAACGTACTAAATAAAAATTTCAGTTAAACGTGCAAAAAGAAAAACTACCCTGATTCCAGTTTAATGCGATTATTAGCATATATATAACTATGCACGTCTGTATAAAAGCATTTCTAATTCAAACTAATTCATTTTCAAGTGTTTCCTTAAGTGACTGAATAAATTTCGTGTTTAAATTTAATATTTATTGAATTTTTCTTCTCTCATCAGATGTGTTTAGCAAAAATACAACGCAATTATTAATTATTAAATTTTTACCAGACAAATTCGCACAAAATGTATGCACACGGAAATGAACTAAACATGTATCTAATGTAAGAAGTGTTTGATGTAAAAAAAAAACATAATCCCCAGCATTCTGCTTCAGTCCTTTGCGGTCCTTTACACAAAGACGGTTTAAAAAAAAAAACTCGATTTGCAAGAATCCATTTAAACCGGGGCGCTTAACGGGACTGTCAGACCTTTGAAATGACCAGAAAATCGATTGTTGAATTTGAACACGTTGCATGCCAATCACCGACAACTCCGAACACTTTTATTTTAACGCCTCTACATTGATCACTTGTGACTACAAAACTCAAAAATGCAGAAAATTCGTAAAAAAACATTGATAACTGTGTAAATATAAGTAATAGTATAATGAATGTATTACATATAATAATTTTGCAATTATATAATATTTTGTTGAAATATAAATTTAATAGTGAAAATTTTACATTGGGTAGAGATAAGCGAATTAGAGCCATTCAACGTGTTAATAATATTTAATAAGATAATCCTTTAGGGAAAAAGCAGAAAGGCAAAATTCGTCAGAAAGGCAAAATTTACCGTACCTGCGTTATATATAGATATATTGACTGCACATGTTTAAGCTTTGTGTCCACGATGTTAGAAATCAGTTCGAGATTTCGGACGGAGAGAAAATTGATCCATCGCATTTGAACAGTTCGGCCAATTGACCAATGCGATTGGTCAATTCTCTCTCCGTCCGACATCGCGGACCGATTTTTAGCATCACACAAGGTTTCAAAAGCCTTTTACTATTGTTGAAGTAACTGTCTTATGAGAGAGACAATATCGTTAAGAAAGAATATCTTTTATGAAAACGAATAGAAAATTCCTTCCAAACTTTTATGATTATAAATGACTGTATCGTGACGTTTTACAAAGACACAAAGAATATCTTTTACAAAGAATATCGATTGAATGAAAGAGAATAGCAAATTCCCTTCAAATTTTCATGACAATCGAATGAACACAATGTCAAAGAATCCTGCAGGGAACTTGTGCAGGTAGCTATAATAGATATATAATCTTCCGTCGAAAATCGGGCAATCTTTTTATAGGTACAGTTGATTTTTTAATTTTTAAGAGAATGAATAGATAGCGAGAATCGATATCCCGCTCTCAAAAAAGCTTAATGTTGAAATTGTGTGTGTACAAAGATATCAGTATGCAGTTGTTTGTTTTAATACAAGAACGAATAGAAATTGTGCCATGTGCCCTCAGCGATCATATTGCATGGAAATATTTTCAGCAAATTAAAAATATTTTTTGTTGGTATCTTTTTGATTGTTAATTACTACATTTCATGGTAAATATGCGACAGAGCGAGATCTCTAGAACGTTAACAGCTTCTTCACACGCTTACTCAAGAAACTGATTATTTTTTATATTTCTCCCACAATCAGCTTTTTAAAATCAATATTCTTTTTCATATAAATTATCCTTTCTAAAAGATATTTTTCCATTTTTTCGATATCAATATGCCATCGTCGCGCATCTAAAGATATTTACATTAAATCATTATATTGAAGGTCAAAAAATACATTAATATTTATGGACTTTCTGACGAATTTTAAAATTGTATTAAAGCTTCTCGGTAAACAAAAATACATATACGTTTAAATTTTAAATAGACATATGTAAAATTTGTTTAAAAGATATGAAAAAATAAAAGAGTAAATATTTAGATCAAATCATTATCACATTGAATGCCAAATCTAATTCGCTCGTCTCTGCGTCAGAAATGTTCTCTATTAGATTTACATTTCGACAAAATATTACGTAATTGAATTATCATGCATAACGTGTTTATTAATTTAGATTACATCAATATTAATTATATTTAGAAAATTATAAACGTTATTATTTTATAAGTTTTCTGCATTTTAGCTTAGCTGGCGCCAGCCACTGGTGACCGACGCAGCGCTATTAAAAGTTAAAATGTCGGTCACAGGAGACATTTTCATCGGTAGCAAGGCATTCATCGTGTTAAAAGCTAAGCAAAGGAAATAAGAACATTCAAAGAACATGGACACGATCAAACTTATTCACGATTAATTTCCAAAAAAATTTCCGAAATCGTTTCGAATTATCAGAAGCATTTCGATGGATTGCTATTAACATCGTTTATAAAATTAGGGAGACATGTTCAAACTTTTGATTTTCTTAATCAAGGGGCTATGTTCATCTAGAATTAAAACAATCAATTTTACAAAAATATTTTTTCAAGAGTTATAAGTTTTCTCAAGAGACTGGAAAACCTCGTCTTAAAATTCTCAAAGATAACATGGGTCGAGTTAGAATCGGTGCGCAGAAATTTTTGTGTTTTTTCCCCTTTTTTTGTTCATTTGACCATTACGCTGGATTTCCCAAGCCTATTTATATATTGTGTACAGAATGAACGTTTCTATTTCGATAAAAAGAAAGAATGCATATACTTTCACTTATTTCTCAAACATATGGTCATGATAAATAATTTGAAACCGAACACATATTTCCTAAGAAATATATATAATCTGTATAGAATTTTAAATCTACCATGCAGCATTCTTTCTTCGAAGACTGTCCTCTTTCATTTTTTTCCCCATACTTTGAAAATAAATTTTAAAAATGTTCGCCTGTTTAAACGTGTATATGTACTTTCACATTTACCAAGAAAATTACTTCAATACAATTTTAAAATTCGTCACAGCAAGTTCACAAATATTAATGTATTTTTTGATCTTTAGATAGGTATTCTATAATAACTTGAGAAAACATTGCAGGAAAATTGCTTCCGCTGTTGAATGAACGGCGAAAGTATTCAGATAATGGAAAGCACATTCAAAAATCTTAATAATGGTGAAGATGAAAGGAATTTCGTCTATAAAAAGAATAAAATAAAAAATCGGTATCTAGATAAAATAGGAATTTTATCTGTTTTATGATTTAAATTCCTTTTCATTTTATGCCTTTGTAGACATTATAACTTTTGTTGGTGTAGTAATTTTATCTAGGTATCGGCTGCTTTTCAAATTTTCTCTTTTCATTTTCTAGATTTTGACAACGTTCATAGATAAACTTCATTATACCGTATCAAAATCTTTCAAACGTGTGCTTTTCATTATCCATACACCATGTAAATAAGGAGAAACTGAATGATTTTGTGCTTCATTCATTAATTCCAATAGTGATTGTTAGCATACAAACTTAAAGAAAAAATATTTCAGTCTATAAACAATTCAAAACAAGCTATTACGTGCAAAACATAAAAATTGAGATCATTTTTATTTTAGAATGTTATATCTTTTCCATCTTTTCATACATATTTTGATAAGTGTGATGTATGAAACAATATCCTCAAAAATTATTTAAGTTAAGAGAATTTAAAAATTTTTAAATGGAGAAGAAATTATATTATTATTTTTAAAACAAATTATTTTCTCACATTTTGAGTTATCTAAAATTCCAAGATATGTCAGAATATTTAAAGGGGGGAAAAAAATTAAATATATAGTCCTCGCGTTGATCAAGATACACGCAATCCGTTTGCGATCGCGTAATTTTCGATCGAATAAAAGTTTTTAAACAGTCAGCATTATAATTATATAGTCAGCATTTATAAATTTAACTCCGATCTTGTCTTAGTGTAGGAAAGCTTATACCAAATACATATAACTGAAAATTAATATTAATACAAATCGCCGAAACAATCAAATAAAAATAATATTTTCAATTGATAAAAACATATTTTCATTAATATTATATTGAAATAACAAATTAAACGATAAGATTATACTAACTAAAATGTATAAATGAATGCTTTATCGCTTTTCCTTATAAAGACTCTCTTACAAGACTTCCGCGAACAGATCAGAAAATACCAATTATCACACATACAATTTACTTATCTCGACGCGCAGTCATGCGCGTTAAAATAACATAAAAATTGCATACGTGAATGCTAAACTACATAATTGTCCACTTAAAACGAAAAATACACTAAGTAAATATAGGAAACAAATAGAATCAATTTTCCGAAGAAGTTTAAAGATGGTTAGAAAAATGATCTAAAAAATAGTTTTAAAAATGTAACAATTCAGAATATAATATTTACTTTCAAGAAAAACTGATTCTGTTACGAATGTGTTATATAGCAGCTTTTTGCAAGATTGCTTTACCGATGGCATTTAGGCAAAATTAAATATAGGAAACAAATAAAAATAAACAAAATTTCAAATTTTCTAAAGAAATAATCTAACAATATTTAAAAAATGTAATAATTACTTTTCAAAATAAGTATTTCAAGGAAGACTTAAGTGTTAATTTTGCTGCATTAGGGCGAGGGGCCAGCCCGTTTTCTCGACAGCGAGATTAGAACTGTCACGATAAATGTGGGAAAAATTAATTTTTCCATAACGTTATCTCTAGACGCGAGCCGCGCAAGTGACATCTGGCAAAAGCCCTTACCTCGTCGAGGTCGTTCTCGTCTAGCTTCTCCACGGCTAAGAGCTGATCCTCGGGGAACAATTCCTCCTCGCAAAATACGCTATATTCACTTTCCATCTTGCCGATACCCTCCATCGTTCTGAGTTACCTAAATCGTTCAGCTCAGCCCGTCAACTCGTCACCTTGCGTTATCTGCGATACAAACAGCACAAACTGAGAAAACATTACCACTCGTGGCTGACCGACGACGCGGGGGCCGGCCCGTCGAGCAGAGCATTACGCGAGCGACATATTCGAGCGCGCTGCCAAGCGGGCCGCGAGCCACGCGCTTTTAATTCTAGGTTATGTTACCACAAAGGAGGCGCCGACGGGAAAGCACGTGGCGGCTCGCGGGCTTGACATTCGCTCGGGGGGGAGACGCGTTTTACATACGAACGTCAGGCGACCGGATATGAGCGCACGGGATCTGCCAAAGAGCGGCGAATTTCGCGATGCGATTCGCGACTCCACGTACTCGCACGTTGCGCGGCGGTTCGCCGCGTCGACGGACGCGAGTCAGCTCCAGCTGGCGCGGCAGGGAGACTGTCGATCGACCGCGATACCGTTAGCCTAACCGCGCGCGAGAACGGAAAGTAAATTCGCGCACGACGACACGCCCCGGACTAAATCTGCCGAAGAGCGGCGAATTTCGCCGTCGCGGTTCGCGTCCACGTTGCACGGCAGTTCGCCCGGCGTGCCGACCCGACCCGACCCGCGAACCAGCTGGTGGCGGCGGAAACCGCCGATCGGCCGCGATATCGTTAGCCTAACCGCGCGAGAACGGAAAAGTAAATTCACACACGACGACACACCGATCAAACTTGCACGACGCCGACCGTCGTCCGATGGGCTGTTCAAACGATACTTCGCGGATGCACGAGGGAACGCGTGGCTCGAGGATAGCCTTCTTGAAGTCTGCACGGTTTGCACATGGAAGGAAGGAGGGCGTCTCTCTCTCTTTCCTTTCTATGCGTGCGCGAGGAAGAGAGACACGGATACGCACGCGTATGCTCAACTCAATTCCTCGCCTCGTCAATCAAAAAATTACTGAGAAACATTACTGTGGCTGATTGACGACGCGACGGCGTCCCGTTGGACAGCGTTTTACGCGAGCAGCGTATTCGAGCGCGCTGCCAAGCGTAGGACGCAGCGAGCCCCACGCCAGTCGCGCCACGCGCTTTTATTCTAGGTTATGTTAACCAAAGGAGCGCCGCCGAACGGGAAAGCACGTGGCGGCTCGCGGACTTGACACACTCGCGAGCGGCGTGAGACGGGTTTTTATACGAACCTCTCAGGTCGCGACCGGGTGCGAGCGCACGGGATCTGCCAAAAGAGCCGGCGGATTTCGCGACGCGAGTCGCGTCGGTCGCGTCCACGTTGCACGTCAGTTCGCCGCGCCGACGACGGGCCGCCGGACCCGCGAGCCAGCTGTGGCGGCGGAGACCGCCGATCGGCCGCGATACCGTTAGCCTACCGCGGAAACGGAAAGTAAATTCGTACACGACGACACACTGCAGGTGAACTCGCGCGACGCGACCGTCGTCCGCAGGGCTCGATGACACTCGGACGCGAGACTCCTGATGCACGAGCTACGAGGGAGCGCGTGGCTCGAGGATAGCCTTCTTGAGGTCTGCACGGTTTGCACATGGAAGGAGAGCGTCCCTCTCTCTCTCCCTCTTTCTCTTTCCTCTCTATGTGTGCGCGGAGAAGAGAAAGAGAGAGACACGTGTACGCACGCGTATGCGCGCCCGTAGTGTACACGCGAATGTATACGTGTATTCGCGTAACGAGTGAAAGGGGGAGAGAACAGAGAACGAGATAGAGATAGAGAGAGAAAGAGAGAGAGAAAAGCCGGCTAGCCATGCTCGAGCCCAGCTTTTGCCTACGCCGCGTCAGGCACCACGCCTGCCACGGGGATCAGCGGATGATGTTCCGCGAGGATGCCATCCGGCGGCTGAGCTGATACCGTCGGCGGATTACCCGGGACGAGGCACGCGCGCGTGCCGCCCGTCTCGGTGTCGTCGCGGTACGTCATCGTTTCGATCGACACGTTAACGCCATGCGGCGGGCAGCGCGCGTCAAATCGGTCAAATGGCAAAGTGCTGAGACGAACCTCTGAGACTCGAGAGCGGTGAGTCAGTCGCGTCTGTAATTCCCAGCAGAGGACGGGCTCCGGGTGCCACCGGGACAACACCACGTTCGCATAACACACACACTGTACGCGCTGGACACCACGTTCGCGGATAAGAGCGGGAAAAAAAAACGCTGCTCGCGCGAAATACGTGCGAATTTCGACCGGTAGTCCCACACGGATACACGTGATCACCACGTTCGCGACACTCGGGCTCCACTTGCCGCTGAACGCGATTCACCAACCCACGCGTATCCCACGCACACGCACGACTCCTTCTTGTGAGACTACGGGACTGGCTGGCAAGATGGTCACGCACACATTTTATACCCGCTTCGTACGTTCCGTGCGCGCGCATCCGTGCAGCTTGCGAGAGGATTTTCCCGCGAAGGCGGAATGGACTTTTGAACAGTGCCTCAAATAGCGATTTTGTGAATGATTCTGTAAGTAAGTAAGCAATCGATGTAGAAAGTAAAATCGACACGCCCGATTCCCGTTTCCTCTTGGGAAAACGAACGGTCGAAAGAAAGTACATAAAACGAGCCTGGTTGTCAGTCATGTTACTTTTTCTTCAGAGCGAAAATGTGAAAAGTGGAAACACCGGCAAGACTGTTAAAAATATCTTTCATAAAGTGTCGTCGGTGTTTTCACTTTTCACGTTTTCGCTTTAGAGAAGAAGTTACGTAATCGATGCCCTGATTGAAAAATATACTCAAGAAAACTGGCAAAAACGCGCGCTTTTTACGATTAAATGATACATAATAATAAAAACTTCAAAAATTTGTGATTAAATGATACACTTTTTAAATGCTACATTAAACGGTAATAATATATAGTTTGTTACTTTTTCAAAACTGTTGACTTATTAAATATTGATATATATTGCGAGTGTAAAGGATAGATTTATCCACCATCTATTTCAAATGTACGATTATACAAATTATACTTAACAATATAATAAAATTATATTTACAAATGTACTTAAAAATTAGATCAGAGAAAGATTCCCAGAGATATTCAGCACTTGAGATGTCATTGGCCAAAAGGAATTGACTCGGTAATTGCGCAGTAATTTTTTACAAGAGATTAATTAACATCAATTAACATTTCATATATACATTTAATAATAGACAATTCGGTCCAAATAACTTGGAACCATCTTCAATATTACATAAGTATTATATAAGTCAAGGTGGCAATTATATAATTATTTTATTTCAACGTAACAAGTATCTAGGGAAATAATGTAATAAATAATTATAAAAGTAAATACTTCAAATCCTTTAGAAAGTTTAAGATCTTACGAAGATCGGCAGTTTTTAATAATTTTAAGAAAATAATAGGATTGCTACACAGTATTATTAACATATAAAATACTATTAATATATAATAGTATAAATCATATAAGAAAAAATTAAGAATGAATAATATAAGAAAAATGAATTTGCAATTTATAAGTTTTAGAAGAGGTTGTTTATATTGCAATCTAATATGAATAAAGATTTTTTAAAAGATAATTATCATACTTCTTTTAGTAAATTAATTAAATCTCCGGTTGTCGAGCGCTGAATTATGTCACATCTCGCCGCGCGATTGCATTTGGCGGTGAATCGTGCTTATTCGACGATTTTTAGTCATTAATTTCTCATAAACTAGGTACTGAGGAAATTATAAAATGATAGAGAATTTTTCGATTTAATTTAATTTCCTCTACTTGCCCACGAGCGCTTTATCATTTGGTGCCGGACACCCTGTATATATATGTATATATATTACTTCTGATCATTCAACATAGCCACAATTGATTTTTTCCTTGCCTCTCAGGGTACATACATATATTATAAAATTATTCGGAATAAATTTCGTTCGAAATTATTCAATTATTTTCTAAATTTTTTTTGTGTTTTCTAAGGAAAAACGAAATAATTCCAAATCTATTCCGAATAGTTCTATATAATACGTGCCCAGGCTTCACTGCTCTCGTCCAAACTTATCATGTGCTCCCTCCATATACCTTCATCGCTCACGTACATATATTTCCTTCGTTTCTAATTGCAGCGGTAGCCACAGGGTGCCGCACCATGCCGCTGGTAAAGCGTAAGTTTCACGAAAAGCAAGATATTTGAGCAACAATCCCTAAAGTTAGATGTCGCCTGCGGCAAAACGCTCGCCCGGGTTTATCAAAATTCAAAAGCATAGCAGAATATCCAATTATTAACAATAAAGTATTGGAAATTAATATAAGATTATAATTTTGAAATTTCGATAATATTTGCTATCATCGTGATTTATTAAGATTTAATTGAATTATGTTGCGTGCATTAAATGTTACCGGAATAATCACGAGATGGCATTATAGGGATTATAACAGAGATTAGATGTAGATTTATATACATATGTATTATTCGAATAATATATATATGTATATATATATATGTATATTGCACATTTACTGCACAAGTTATTATACTGCACAAAGCGCGATATAATTATAAGATAATTTTTTTTATTGATTAATATTACATATCAATTACATTGCATTATATTTAAATATCGATAACATGCCGATAGACCGAATTAGTCACATATACATATACGCATTAACGAAAGAATTGCCGTGTTATTTAATGTTATCTAATTGCTTTATGTCTGAGCAAATATCTGGACAAATAAATAATTATGCTACGATCTTGTTATCTAATCAGACTTTCCCATGTACTTTAATCCATAGATTAGATTATGTTATCGGAATGTTTCGAAAATTTAAAAAATTCCAATCTCTCTTTAATTATTCCAGGAATCGCGATATTAAGTGCCAAATGAAATGCCCGACCGTATATCGCCTGATAGATCAAAGACACTTTGAAAACTACGATGCGCCATTTATAGTTAGTATATAATCGTTACAATCGATGTAACGTTATATGACTCACAATAAACGTTGTAAAATTTGTATTGTTGTGTTTTATTAAAGTGCGCGCGCAGAGCAGAAAGTTAAAAAGTATTACAAGCCGGGGTTTTTTTTAGAAAGCTATAGACAGCAATAGAATTTTTTTTGCCTTTATGTTTTGTTTCGTGTTTTATCTAAGCTTCAGATCTTTGTGGCCTTTCACGTGTTACCGTTGTCATTCTTCAAATAGAAGAGAGCAGGCAAGAACGCAAGGCTCTCATTTTTTTTTTCATATTCTCTTTTAGAACCAGTTTTTCCGCGCGAACAAAAGCGCTAATTATAAGAATCAAGAATGGAGAATTAATATTTTTCATAATTTTTTTCCTTCATGCAATTGACAACAGAATGAAAATAATTGATTGATAATCTTATTTTTTTGTTAATTTAAGTAGTGACGGTTTTTCAACAGTCATACTTCTAATTTGGAAGTTTTCTGACCCTGCAGTAGGAATCAGATAACGGTCTTCGAGTTTTTGAAAAAAGATATCATCTACAATGATCCCAAGTCACGATGATGCAGACCATGAAATCTTCAGGTAAAAGAACAAACTATTTTGTTGTTATATTGTACAATGGCATATATGCATATTGCAATATTTAATATTTCTACTTTACATAAACGGTAAAATAACTGTTGTACAATTTTTGTTTGTATATAAAAGTATGTAATTTTATTTTTTTATTATGATTTAATAGCACGTTTACTGCATAAGTTATTAGGCAATAAAATTTTTTTATTTATTAATAATACAAATTTTTATATTATAATGACGATTTTCTTATTTTTACTGAGAGATTTATTTATACTATTTATATTAAGTGCATTAAACGTTTATGATTTGTTTTATAAATTTCTTATGTTATTAGCTGCGTTTGTATATCAAAGACGGTCTTAAGAGTGCATACAAAAAGTGCCAAGCGTGATTGAATATTTTATTTTGCAAAATGCAATCAAGCGCTGTCGCGCTCCTTTCTTTTGACTCCCAATTCAATTTTATTTTTATATTTTATTTTTTTTAAATTAAGATATGCATTATAAATAAGCCAAAATAAGATTTATTATATTTGCTATTTTTTTATTCACTTTTTGTAAAAAGAAAAAAATTAGCCTTTTGATTTAGTAAAGTGTAATTGACAGTTGTGATAAAAACTTCAAGCATATCATCCATAAAATTATTGCAACTCTGGTAATTTTTAATGTAAAACGGCAAAAACACGATTATGCTTCTTGACACTCAAATCATTAACTCTATAACGGTAAAAAAAGAGAACTGTTTGACAGCAGAATGAAAAGAATTAATAGTAATAATAATAATACTTTATTGATTCATGACCTTATTTTTTATTAATTTAAGTGGTGACGATTCTTCAACGGTCACATGCCTAATTTTGAAGCTTATAACATACTTTCTAACACTATAATAGGAATCAGATAACGGTTTCCTTTACCTTCAAGTTTTAAAAAAAGAGATCGCCTACTTTGTGTGCCTATAAACTATACATCATATATTTGGAGGCATTTTTCTAAAATTAATATTTTTATTTTTATGAAAGTTATAAAAAGTCGAAGTCGCGTCTATGCATATATCTATCTCCATTTGTCCATTTCTAATTTTTACTATAGGAAGACTCTCTCTAGATTAATCTACGGAACTGTCTTACATTTTAATTCCGAATCGCATTACTATTTGCATCATGAATATGGGAAAATTTGCGAAATGTGGCGCTGTAGACAAAAAATTTCTATTTTGTGGAAAAATATTAATGTTAATGAAACATGCTAGTAATCGGTAAATACACGGGCTCCAAATGTATCTAACAAGCAGTAAGAGATACATATAATACAATGTTCACGCTGTGAGTACACTGCGCTCACATTTCACGACGCACGTTTTAATCCGTTAGCATCAAGGATAGAACGACGCAAATCTTAAGCTACGTGTGCATATACATGCGTTTGCAACTGAACTGGCAGCCAGATAGTTTCAACGGCTAGATCAAACAACAACGAAGCGCTATTCAGCACGAAATATCATACACATATTCTGTATTCGTGTATTTATCATTGAACTTTTTGCTAATAAGTATTTGTGTGTCTTCGTGCAACTGTACTCGCGCGTTTGCATGCATTTTGCAGAAACGAAGGCAATATTGGTATTGGCAAATAAAATTCTATATGAAACTATTCAGATAACTTTTTTATATAATTATAATATCTTGCTTTAAAATAAAATTAAATAAGTTAAATTAAGGCGTGTGCTGCAATTTGTGTGAACACGAAAAATGTGTATACGCATATTCTGTTGCGAACGGGAAAGTCATGTTTTCTTTTCGATAAATTGTAGTCAAAGTCGGTCAAAGTCCAGAATCAACAAATGATTGGACGGCAATTTATTTATGTGGAATGTAGATAATAAAAGGAAGATACTAAGTACATTATTGATTTAAGCGTGCACGTCACCCAATAATGTAATGTACAGGCATCATAAATCATACAATTTGCACACGAATAGAGAATCATCAGAATTAGTGTCAATAATATAAAATAGATAATTATGGGTAAATTCCATTAGCTCGTCCCTCCTATTTAACTATGCCCTTTATCTAAATTTGCATTCTCCGTCCAATCGTTTTATTTCGTTATATTCCTGATGTATGAGATATTACTTTCTCTTGCTCCATAATTCTCATCATATCTTTATCGTAGATAATCTATAATACGTGTATACCAGTAAACTTATCGTGTATCTCGGCTGTCAATGCGATAAAATTTTGGCTACCGCTATAAAACAAATTAAAGGAATATCTTGTAATTTTTATATAATGTATTTCAAGCGTTTACGAAATGAAGGACTTGCCGCGATAACTTGGAATAATCCACATAACCGAATATGTGATATTGGATAGAAATGGATGTATTTTCGCTTCAACTTCAGAGTTCATTTTCTCCGTTTTTACAAAACGCGAGTTGGCCCACCGTTGCAGCAAACCCGTCAAATATCAAATTGCGAAATTCTATTTTTACACGTAAAAGATTGACGCGAATAGACGTAGGTCCAGTTCAAACCTGAACGCCGATAGACCGAGAGATAAAACGGTAGGGGCAAATCGGCGAATTAAGTTTTCACAACCGAACGACCGGCGGCCACGCGACGGGGGGCCAGTATTGGATACGAGTACGTATCGGTCTGCGCATGATTTCGTATTTATCGTATTGAGACGGCCGTTTTCCCGGTCGTTCGCCGGGGGCCATGCCTCGCTATAATCGTATTCGTCGCAACGACACGACGTAAGAAGATTCGTAGCGTCAAATAGCGACATAGCGCCTACACGCGAATCAAAGATTAAAAACGTGTACACGAACTTCCTTTTTTTTTTTTTTGTAAACTTGTTACACGAGTTGGAAAAGTACGATAGCAAAATTAACAGGAAAAAAATAATGACTTATCGGTGTCAGGTGGTTACATCGGGAAATTTCGATCGGAGGCCGGTCTGCAGTTACATCGTTGTAACGACCTCGTGCCCGTTGTAACAACAACGTTTGTAAACTCCTCCGCTCGGAATGAAAAAATCGCCAACACTCTTGTTTATTTTTTCCTATGAACTTTTCCCGTCCTGTATAGAGTGCCTCACGACACGATTCTCCGGATGCGCCCTGGTTACGTCGAACGCGCCGGATACGCGACACATTCGCAATGAGAATCCGCCGGCGGGCGGAACGTCGCCGCGGCGTATAGCCACGTCGATGCTATCGGCGTTTCTTTAATTATTGATCGCCGCGCGTTTTAGCGGTCAAGGGAGAGCACTCGCGCTGTCGCCTAACTATCGGATGGCGACCGTTTTACTTCGCCTTCCTGTGTCCAGATCGCGCGTGCGCGTGTGCGATATTGTCGTTCCCGGTGCAGCTTTTATCCATACGACCGTCCGGAAGTGTTCCGGTTCTCTCCGTTCACCTGTGTATTTTCGGCTTCTGATGGTCCGTTTGCACGTTTGCTGCATACAACCAGAAACCGAGCGCGACGTGGATTCGCGATCGCGTCGTCACTTTGAAAATACGTCTCGCGAAGTAAAGAAAATAAATAGAGCGCGGCAGGCAAATTGAATCGCCCGTAAAACGCTCGGGCTTGCTACGCGAATAATAAATGTCGTATATTAGCAAGACCGGGAAGAAAGACACGGAGGCGGAGAGAAACAGACTTCCTAATCGTAATCATATCTTCTTCTACGGTACTGTGGCCTAATTTGAACCCTGGCCTCCTTCAATTTCTTGCCTCCACCCTTCTCTATCAAGTGCCGCCCTTTTCCATTACCGTATATTCAAGATGATTTTTCATCTTCTTTTACGCTGGCTTCCCACCTTCCTCAAGGATTATCTAAAAAAAACCTGCTTTTATTTATTTCATCATTTAGAATATCTTTTAAGGTTTTTTTTTATAATTTATCATAATCATATATATGTAATCTGAATAATAAGCTTGCCTGTCTGTTGTTCGATCTCTGACAACATCGTATCAAGTATAATGAGGAGGAGATAGAAGGCAGGTAAGAGATATAGGAGGTAGGTATAAACCCCTTACTGCGTGCCATTTAGAGATAAATATTTAGAGCAAAGAAAAAGGGAGAGGAAACGCACCGGAAGCAAATCGGAAGAAATTCACGTGTTAGGACTCATGTGCGCGGCATACCTAACCAGATGGAGTCCAGACGCCAAGTAGCGGAAGCTTAAAACGATACGCGCGCTCGCAAGGCGCGCACACGCGTTCTGCAGGGAGAGAACGACTATATTGACCCTGACGCGAGCTTAGCAAGTTTGCCGATGGTACTCCCCTTTTCGCGGCGCGGTCGCTTCTGTTAATTTCGTCCTGGACGTAGTGTTAGTGCCGTGACTTCGAGTAACCGGGTACACACGCTATACGATTTAGCGGTCGGCCCATTGGTAACATCGATCGCGCATCTGCTCAGCAGTAGTGCTCCGCCGGGGCCGAGGTGGGATGGGGGTGCGGTAAGGGTTGGAGGGTTGGAGCGAACGCGGACAGATGCGGGAGGGAGGGGGAGGGGTGGAAGGGGGAGGGAGGTGGGCCAGGACTTTAGAGAAAAACGTTTGCATTAGCGTGCCACCCGCGCCCCGGCCCGGGCGAATGCAATAAAGCGGCCAAAGATAAACTGTCGAATTGACCGAAGTCGGAGAAATTGCCTCGCGATAACGCGCAATTTCCCACCGGGCGAAATGGTGATGGTGCATACGGCGAAGTGAGCGCGTACGTGGTGCTACGCCACGTTCACTTTCCATTTTCGGCTATTTACATTGTAAATAAAGAGTCACGATGAGTCAGCTGTAGCCCCCGCGTCGCGCGTGTATATAAGGTTCCGCTTTTCGAATTTCGCCGGTCGACCTGCGACACTGCACGAGATACGAGCCGGTCGAGTTTTTTTTGCTGCGTAAAAACGCAAGTCGCGCGTATTGTACGTTGCACAGCAATGGGGAGAAGCGGGGGGGGGGGGAGGAGGTCGTCTCCTCTCGCCACAAATCTTTCATGTGATGGCACATGTGGTGAGTTCGCAACCCTCGCCAGAAATAGGAACGCTTCCTATCCAGATTAGAAACGCTTAGCTGACGCACGGGGGCGAAAGAATCGAATCGAATCGAATCGAAACGAAACGACGCGACGCCTATTATTTTTCCCGCGCGCGGGATTGTTCCATAATTCATAAAGTTTGTCGTGGCTCCTCTCTCTGTCGGGTGGGATCTTTATAAACGATAACTTCGTGCTTGCGTTTGCCTTCCGAACGGAATCGAGGCTCCGTATGTGTCACTCCGAGAGCAAGTTTGCAAATCGTCTCTTTTATCCCCGGCACTCCGTGGGAGCAGATTTGTTCGCTTTTCCCATTCGAGAATCGTTCTCCCTTTATCACGATGCTCCAGCATACGCGATCGGGCGATAGCGAGATCATTTCTTTCCCGGTCCTTTCCGAATAAAACAGTTTTTTTCCCCCCTCCGTCGTCGACATTTCCACGATAAAATGGCACGCCCTTTTTTTCACCGCAGTCGCTCGCTTTCATTTCTGAATTTTATCGCGGTCGACAATATAAGCTGAGAAATCAATAGCTGTCGGCGACAAATATATTAGCTTTGTTATACGTCGTAGCGTAAGGAATCTCTTTTAAATTCTATAGCTATAAAGAGGGGAAAATTAAGAAATGATCTTACGGATGAACGAGCCGGGATGAAGGTGCTGCAGTAACAGCAATAGCAAGATGAATCAGTTGTGCCTAACGATCCTAAGAAGTTTTTCTGATGCTTATAAAACTGTGCATCCTCATTTTTCTAGATTCTTAAACTTAAGAAACATAGATTCACAAGATCTATATATCTTTTGTAAATAAGTGCAGAACAGTGGTATGAAATATGCAGTCTGTTCTCACTTTCTACTCATATAATTGGCAAATCTTTTGTTCAGAATTGTATAGGTGACGATCGTATATTTTATGAAAATCAATTCCAGTTCTCATTTTGTCTCCATTCATCGCCGAGAATTCCTTTATTCTATTTAGCCAAAGGATTTATTAGCTGCAGTAACGATAATAGCGAGATAAATCAGTTATGCCTAACGATCCTAAGAAGTTTCTCTGGTGCTTATAAAGTTGTTCATCTTTATTTTTCTAAATTCTTAAATTTAAAAAATATAAAATCACAAGATCTATATCTTTTGCAAGCAAGTGCAGAATAGTGGCATAGAAATAAAAAGTCTGTCCTCACTTTCTGCTTATATAATTGGTAATTCTTTTGAGTTGTATAGGTGATATATTAGGTCACGTATTTTATGAGAAGATCAATTCTAGTTCTTATTTTATCTTTACTCATCGCCAAGATTTCTTTTTTTATTTCTTTTTTTTAGCCAAAGGATTTAATAGTACATACTAGATAAATCAATTGACAGATTAAAACAATTTTTTTTTCGCTTTTAGATAATCTAGATTATCCGTTTTTAAACATTCAGATTGCAAAAAAATTACGTATTCAACATCTTTTTTAGATATTTAGACATTTAGACCAAAAATAGTCATACATAAACTCAAAATGTACAAGAAATAAATTATAAAAACAATTCTTTTTTAAATTGATATTTTGACTATTTTTTAAGTGCATTTTCCCGTTTAATAATCTGAAAAAAGTAATTGCAATTTAATTATGGTTTTTGTATTGTACAGTCTTTCGTGACCTAACGAAGAATTTACTTCTAATTAGTCGAGAAATTTGCGGCTCTTATATACATTCAGTATCTAAGCAGATAGTGAAGAAAGGAAATAGAGAATGTAGTTAAAAAGAGAAGATTTCCGTGCAGATTTCTTACAGTCTTATCTTTAGATAACATTGCACATTGCTACGAAATTCTGTTACTTCACAATATTTGCAAAAGTCGATTTCACGTCTGATAACACGATAATTTCAAACGGGCTTTTCCAAAGCTTCAGCTTATGAATACAGGAAGAATACATATATGTAAACACATGCAGTTCTTAACTTTTAAATTATTGCATGTTGAATCTGAGCAAACAAATTTCTTCTTTTTTAAGCGTTTTATAATATTTCTACAGTAGCAATCATTAAAAAAAAAACTGTCGCGTACGCACATCCGTTCAGCTTTGGTCGAAGTGACTGGAGAGATGAATCGGCATTCTCAGAAGCGCACTTCGTTATCTGCAAATTGGGCGACACCTTATCAGATTTTCCTTGAGCAACTGCGACATATCTCATAGTGCAGATTTCAATGAAAACATTGAACGTCGCGTTGCGCAGACCAATCGAGATGCGATCGAACTTATTTGTTCGGAGTGAGGGCCGATTGAGTGGATCCGGAAATTATCTTTCGATATAATCAACATCAATAAGATAATAAGATAATTCGGATTATCTTGTCGTCGTTATATATTATTATAGCCGTCTGATCGCGTCCACGCCCAGATCAGTCGCGGTGTTGAGGACAGACCGAAGCTCAGTCATCACGTGATAGACGAATCGGATACCACGTTCATTATGACAGAATCCAGGAAAACGTCCCAGGTTAGTCATTTCCCTATACAAACACGTCTTGATGAGTGACACGCTGTGATTAATTATTGCAGCAATTTCGTAATTCACAGAGAGAGAAGCAGGTCACAGATACAGCTTGGCTTCGCTTCTTATCACCTGGAACGGTGATAAATACTTCTCAAGACGAATATGTCCACAAATATTTTTCCATATCGAATCCGTGCTTGCTTTCATGTTATAAATTATTTGTGTAAATGCATATCTAAGCCTGATTTTTTAAATCTTCGATATCTAAACTAAGTTTGGATATAAGTAAATGTTTACATTTTCATTATTTTTGTACTTTTCGTAAAATATTTCTCAAGAGTTTCGTATAAGTATTTATCAAAAGATTAAAATAAATGTTTTATAGACAATTTTTTCGAAACATAAAACAATGTTAATGCTTGTTTTTCTTACATTTATAGAACACAAAGTGTGAAGCTTTGCATTGAAGATAGGAACACATCTTAATTCTTTCACGTTAGAACAATTGTCATTACATTTTTCATAAATAAATTAACAAAATTAAAATTATTTATCAAAAAATTAATAAAATTTCTTGCTATATAATTATGAAATCTTATTTTTAATCACCCTGTTGGTTAGATTAAAAATTTTCGCTATCAAACCTGAGGGATAAATTAGAGTCGATTCGTATTTAATCTCGTTGTATAAATATGTCGAAGATCGTCCCAGTATTGAAATTCGCTCTTCTTTCCCGCAGTTCTTCTCGATCGCTTACGTGTCTGCACGGTGTCAGATCTTTCCATCGTCGATTTGGCGATAATTTATATGATGCAAATATAATGTGCTCCCCGTGTGTTATTGGCAGGTGAAGAGGGTCTCTCTCGGAGTTGGCGGTGTTTTGGTGATGCACTCGGACGAACCGAAGCGAGGCGCCTGGGCCAACCAGATCGAATTTATTCTATCCTGCATTGGGTATGCCGTTGGCATCGGCAATGTTTGGCGTTTCCCTCTCTTCATATATCGCAACGGTGGTGGTACGTAGTACGCGCCCGTAACCGCGTTGGTCCACGTGTGCATCTGTCCCATGGTATACATGGGAAATACATGCTTCAGATGCGACCGTCGTATTATACCCGTCGTACAGAGTGTTTCAGGTCGCACGACGAAATTGCGCGGGCATGTTAAATGAGTAAGAAGTACAACAAACCGTTAATATAAATTAGGCTCGTATTAAAAAAATATAATAGTGATTTGGAAGACGAGAAGTTGATGTTTCTATCTCTTTAATTTTATACCAGAGCTTACACTGGAGCTCTAAGTTGAATAAAGTTTCTGTAGATTTGTATTTATCTGAATTGCTCTCTATCTCTCTCTCTCTCTCTCTCTCTTTCTCTCTCGCCTTCTTTACTTGTAAAACACGATGGTACAGTTTAGTTACAGTTTGTTAAAACTTGGAACGCTCTGTATATCATGCTGCGACGCCGCACAGTATCTTCGTTCTTACACGGCGTCGAAAAATTATAGATACAAACTTTTAAAAACTGATACGTAAACTTCAGGATTGCGCGTCGGGGATTCAAATATGGCCGCCGTAAATAAAGGATCCGGAGAGAGATTTTTTTTTGGTGCAACAAGAATGATTTAGAACAAACACTTTTTAATTAATTAGATCTTTGATATAAGTTATCAAGCTCTTTAAAGTAGTGCTACTTATTACTTTGATAGTTGATTTTCCTCGTAGGAAAAGAATTGTCAAGTAGTTGATTGATAATAGTAGGAAAAACAGTACGAAGGATTCGTTAAAATAGATAAGTTTAAAATATAATGATATTAAAAAGAATCTGTATATAATAACGATAAGATAAAAGTTGTAAATTATATTTTTAATAGTAAAATTACACTTCCTCCGTTTAGAGAATTGGAATATTAACTGTTATTATAATTATATTTACTGTTTTTTAGCATATTTTATATTATATTTGATGCGCATTATAACAATAAAAGTTTATAAGTTTATGCGCGCTGTGAAAAGAAAAACATCTCCAAATTAACATTAGAAAGCTGCGATTGCGTAATTAAATTGTTATAGGCGCCTTTTTGATACCCTTCATTCTCATGTTGATCACGATGGGTTTGCCTATATTCTTCCTGGAGCTTTGCATGGGCCAGTACACTAGACTGGGGCCCATAAAGGCTTTCAGTCGCATGGCACCGGCTTTTCACGGGTTAGGTCACTGCACATTGATCGTCATCTTCTTTGTGCTGATATATTACATGGTAATAATCGCGTGGACGTTATTCTACACCTTCGCTTCTTTCTCGTCGAAACTCGCCTGGGCGTACTGCGACAACGATTTCAACACGAAAGGTAAGTAAAATTAGACCGGCGCGCTAATAAACATTTTACTTATCGCTGTTGCACTCAGACAAGCAAAGATTTAACTGAAACTTTAACTTTAGGAAGCTCTCGTAGTTAACCGTACTACCGTGACTAAACGTTTACTAGCGTCACACGTAACTTCTTGGACTGTTTTGTCGTTACATTATTTAGAATTGCACAAAGAACGACTTATACAAATCTAGTAAAAAAAATGTTTTTGTTATCAAGGTATCAATTAATTAAATTTTGTTATACAATGTAATATAAATTAATGTCGCTTACTACGCAATTTTGATTCTAATCGAATAGCCGAATAATCATAGAGCATTCTTATAAGAGGGTATTATTAGAGATTAATGAAGCAAGAGGCTAAGTCTTGTCATAATTATTTAATTTTGAACTGTGTATTCATGCCAATGTCGATAGATTGTTACAGCAGCCTTCAGAACGAAGAGTGCAAGAAGAATAATTCAAGTACTATATTTTATAATAAGGCTTGCACGGCTATTAGCACGGTCTGTTCCAGCTATGGCTACGACGATCATAATACCACCCACTGTCTGTCCACCTCGAGAAACGAGGCCAAAGTGTTCGGCGATGTCTACAATCGAACACTGTCGTCCGAGGAGTACTTCAGGTACGGTAATTACATTGCCATCAGCGCTGCATCGTGTCGGGAGGATCGGTAATCGAGCCTTACGCCGCTGGTTCAGCGTTGAGGAGCGAAACAAAAATTGTTGAGGATCGCGCCTATACAAAGAGTGTAATTGTCGATCGCGTCCAGAGATTACGTTCTTGGTCTACACGAAGACACCACGTGGGAAAACTTCGGCGGCATACGATGGGAACTATTCGGATGCCTCACGCTAGCCTGGGTAGTGTGTTTCTTATGCCTGGTACGCGGTATCCAGACTATCGGCAAAGTTGTCTACTTCACCGCGCTCTTCCCTTACGTCATTCTCACAATTCTTCTAGTACGCGGTAAGAAACAGAAACGCGAGGCGGGCTTTCCTACAGCTAAGGCTTTCCTATAAATGTAGATATATATTTTTATTTGAGTTTAATGCATTAAGATACATGCGCACACCCACATTTTTCCTTGGCACTCTTTAAAAGTAAAAGGCAATTTCTTAGATACAAACTTAATACTTTGCGACTTAATAAGTACTTATCGGCGGCACAGTGCCGTCGTGCAAATCTGGCTGACAGGACTAGTATCTTTATATAAGAATATCTATTATTGCATGCAATTAAATGGCAGTACTGAGAAAATTTATACGTAACGTGAACTGTATATTTTTAGTACCGATAGTGCATATCAGTTATAGTTGAAAATATAAACTCAATTTTAAAAGCATAAAAATAAGCATGACCATTTATTTTATTCAAGTAAAATGTCTCCGTTAATTGCTAAGAATAGCGTAGTCGAAACTTTTTTTCTAAATTTACGGAAAAATATCCAATTGTGTTACATCCGATATATTTGAATTGTTTGTTTTAGCAACGGAAATTTGCCAAGATAAATCATTTTTATAAATACGCGCGACACTAATGTGGAAACAGATATAATTCTCTTGTGTCTCAGAAAGATAATCTCGTAGGTGTTACGCTGGACGGCGCCGATTACGGCATGCTCTGGTACATATATCCCGATTTTTCGAAGCTGAATGGCGCAAGTGTGTGGGCGGACGCGGCCTCTCAGATCTTTTACTCGCTCGGCATCGGCTGCGGATCCCTGGTGACTCTCTCGAGCTACAGCACCTTCACCAACAATTGTCACAGGTGCGATTATACTAAAACGGAACGTGCATGCGTCTGCAGGATAAAAGGGAAGGAAGAGCTGGGTCGTTTGCGAACATAGGATACATTAATAGCAAAGCAGAAGGAAAGAAGTAGAACGTCTGATGGTTTTGCACGCGCCCACCCTGTACGGAGACGGACGTATATACGAATTCGTCGCGCGTTTGAATCGCGCGAATAATTTATCGCGAGACCGTGTATTTAATTAACTACACTGACTAAGCGCTTCGAGCGCCTATTAATCTTCTGGTTCATCGTTCGGCGACGTTTCAGTCTCTTTACGACACAGCAATCGTTGCATATTTTATTTTAACTCGGGGACTCGACGACGTCGTTTCGGTGACGGGCGGTGGCCGGGTGTCGTCGCGCGATACCAGCTGGCGTAATTCCGAGACCGAGGCTTGAGTATACTTATATAACGTATAATAATAAGGATAAATTCCGTGGAGCGTAAACGACAGCCGTCGTAAATAATTAAGTGCGCGTAATAATCTAACTGGTAAGAACGATTTGTAAACGTAATCATATAATAGTTTGCCTATATTTGCTTCCTTTTGGATAATAATAGCAACTCGTGACATTCTCGAATCGCGTATGTGGTATCCTATACCTAAAAGACAGGCGGAAAAATGTCCTTGATACACAAGATGAGAAAAAAATGAGGGATATACTTTGGGAATTGTATTAGAGACCGGCAAAACAGAAAAGGATTCGATACAGTTATGGATTAGGGGAATCTATTTCAGAGGGACAGAGATGAATGCGCTTTTCTTAAAGTGACACACGTTTATTGCTTGTACGATCTCATCTCTCTGAAATGAATTTATTATTCTATACTAACATCCTATATATATGTACATACTCGTCGAGTACGTACGGTAATTTGAATTTTGGTTCCTCTGTTTTCAGAGACGCTATCCTCGTCACCTGCACCAATCTATTCACGTCCGTTTACGCCGGTCTGGTGATATTCGCGATACTCGGATTCCTGGCCAAGCAGATGGGTATGCCGATCGAGAAGGTGGTCCAGAGCGCGGAGGGACTGGCTTTCATCGCTTATCCGGAGGCGGTGGTGCAGATGCCACTGCCGAATCTCTGGGCCATCCTGTTTTTCGTTATGCTCTTCATACTCGGTCTCGGTAGTCAGGTAAGCACGCGAGCGATTCACGCTTTATATACATAACATCAGGAAACTCGCGCGGTCGTGTACAGTCTCGCGCCAAGTATAGGTGTACATTGCGTGATATTTTTGCTCTTACGAGCTTCCGTTCGCGGCCGCGGCGACAATAAACGCGAGCGAGAAATATTATCGCACGAACATTTAAACGGACTATAAAAGATTTCATTTCCATTTTCGTGCAAGCAAAAAAAAAACGCGCTCTTCCACTCTTCGTCACTTACGGTGATGAAAAAAAAATAATTATTAATGCGATGAGCTCGGCTGAGAGATAGGGGCGAAGCAGGGGGAGGAGGAGGGGAAAAGCGAGAGATGTGAATTTCAATTTTCCTTCGCATAACGAGAAACATCGTCCCGCTAACTGCATTTGTTCCAACGAGTTGTATATTTGCAAGATGGCCTGACTTTCGCCTTCTTGCACTTTGCGCGAACTTTTGATTATGTTGTATTGTAGAATAGAGTAACGGAAAAGCATTGGAACAAAATAATGCGTGCGACACGTACAATAATGACCGTGCGGCTTGAATTTCTCGCGACATAATTCAGAATCTTTATCTCGTTTTTATTATTTTGATCAATACATAAAAACTATAAACAAATATACCAAATAAAAGGTAAATATGATTTCATGTTAGAGATTAATTTTGTAATATAAAAAGTGTAAATAGCTAGTATTTTATTCCACGACACTTTCTTGTAATAATTACAAAAAGAAGCCGTATTGTGTCTCGAGAAAGACTTTCCACCATTACGCTCTAAATTTTTGAATGATATTTTAAGATTGTATTTAAACTTCTATGCTTTTGCACATAATGACATTTTATAAATATTAATCTTTAACTAACTTTACTAATCGTAATCAATTGTCTAATTGAATATGGGCAATTTCTTATAGTATACACGCTAATAATACACATTATGAAGTAGACGCGCGATAAGATATCCGATTTTTCTACGTATACGCTTTATGAAACGGGGGAGGGGGGCATCAGGTAGATCGTTGCAGTTATGGCGCATCCGTTAAAAAGTTACAAAAAAAAAAACAGATTCGCGGAATATACGGTTATTGTGTATCAGCTTTCACATCGCTCATCGACGTGGTTATTTCGCGAGGATTTCACGTCTCTCGGTGCTAAGAAGGCGTCATTCAGAAGCGCCCTGAGAAACGGTCGTATTTGTCAAAGACGCCGCGGGCGTGAGAGCGAGGGATGCGCCGCCGCGTCACGCCGGGATGAGGGCGAGTAGCCGGACGGCGATCGTTTCGCGTTGCTTTTGCATCGCGAGACTCCCATCTTTTCACCCCGGGGCTCGTATATCACGGAAGGAATTATGGCTCGCCGTCTCGGAGTGAAATCCACACCTTCGTCCCCTCTTCGCGTGGCCGTCAGACCCCGTTCTCTTCTTCCGTTTTCCGCAGCGGTTCGCCGATGATACCGCGTGGCGCGGCCACGAGCGACGAGTTGCGGAGGAAAAACCGTAAAAGATATGCCGCGTGAATATGGCATGCGAATACGATCGGGCGAGTACATTTCGTTATATTAATGTAATCGCAAATGTCGATTGAGAGACGGGCGGTTTCCTTTGCGCTCTCGTGTCCTAAATTTAGAGACGCTTTCGGATGGAAAACGCGCGTACCTACTTATTGCTACGAGAATAAGAGTAAATGGAAAAGATAGGAGATGTAGAAACAGAAAGTGGGAAAGGAAAAGAGGAAATGGCGCGGGGGCGAGGGGTGGGTCGAAGAAGGAGGAAAATGCGCGGCCGTGCGGTCGTTACTTTTTACGGCACAGTTTGCAGGCGTGCAGGCGATAAACACCGCCATACTGGACTGGCGTCCGGATTTGCGGAAATACGAGAGTTTCGTGGTGCTGGCTATATGTGTTACTTGCTGGTTCATGGCGATTCCGATGGTATTCGACGGCGGTATCTACCTGTTCAAGCTGATGGACTGGCATACCGCCTCCTGGGCGATCCTATTGATCGGCTTCGCAGAACTCATTGTGGCTTCCTGGTTCTACGGCTGTAACAGATTCCTAGCTAATCTCGGCGAAATGAAAATTAAATTCGGCCGTTTCCTTCACGGCTATTGGTGGATCTGCTGGGTCGCTCTCGCACCTCTCACTTGCCTCGTAAGTATATTTTACCTTCTACAGAGTGGCTTTATCAACCGTTAAATTCTTTTCTCGCTGCGGGGTGCCTACCAAAATAGATCTTTCAGGTCACAGAAAAAGGTCAGATACGAACGGATTTTGACTATTGAGAATCTTATTATTTCAATATCAGATTTAAATATGCATTTTTGCAAATTGCAATGGTTTATATTAGTGTAATGTATAATATTATTAGTATTTATAAAAATAAAATTGAGTATTGATTTGTATTTGAGAATAAAATAGAAACTAGAGAAAATGAAAGCCAGTAAACGAGCAAACAAAGATGTTGAAATATAACTTATGTTACGTTTCATAATATATACGTTCTTTACATCTGCAACGAAATTGTTAAAACGATGTTTACTGAATTTTGTGAAAATCAATGATTGAATCCTTTCGAGTACAGCGTCGTGCGAAGCAATAAAACTTTGTCCTTCGGATAATACATAAACCGTGATTTTACGTCGCCTTGATTCCTCATTGTTATTGAAATAAATTATTACGGTCCTTATCCCTACACGATCGCGAATAAACTACATAACAATTAAAACTTTAGCGGCAGCTCCAATGTTATATCGTTATGATACAATCGGCGGTAGTAACGAAAGGAAGATGATGCTTAATCCCGTCGAGGTAAGGAGTCTACCTTTATTGACTGTAAACTTTGCGGAAAGTTCAGCGACATAGTGAGAGAGAATAAACCGTAAATTAGTCCCGACCCATCGCGCGGAGACGATTAATCGAATTTATATGGAAAGTAATGAAACTAAAGCTTTAGGTTATCGATCGCCAAGGAGCTTGTTAAAGCGTAGTAACGCGCGTGTGTAAACTTCAGAAGTATTCCGGCAATTTTTCAATTTGCACAGGTTACTTTATAATGAGTATAAAAATGTTTAACAATTTTTTGTAGAAAATCTGTTTTGAATAAATTTATCATGACAGTAGTCGCTGTTTTGCAAATAATTACAAAATCATAGTTTTATTAATAATATTAACAAATTTATACATTCTCTTATAACAAACATAATTTCAAAGTAATCACAAATAGTTGAAAATTTATCTGGAAATATGCTTTCGTTTAAATTTAACACATATACAAGTAGCAGTTTGATGTTTATATGCGCTTGTACGTGTGTTTTTGTATATAACTTAATACAGCAATGTGATGTTTACATATATTCATTTAATGAATGATTATTCATTAATTAATGAAGGTTCTTATGCAGAAATTATAAATATAATATAATTGGAGTAAAATGTCAAATGTCGAAAGTTTATAAATATATTTCGCAATTTAAAAATAGCGGATGAAAACAATTCGACATTTATACTTTTTTTTATTATTGAATATTATTTATTTATTGAATTTTTATGGACCAGAATGCGTCGATTTCTTTTAAATCCATTTCTATCAGACTTTCTAGGCAAGATTACCAGCTCTAGATTCGCAAAATTCAGCGGCCCTGGCGATTCGCGTCCCTTGGAGGCAAAGCGTCGTATTCCCCACGACCAAACTGCTTAATTAATCTGGCTGCCTGTCGAGGCGTGCCGAGCGAATTTTTATTTATAACGGCTGAAATTTTCCGCTCGCGCGCCGTCGCGGGGATCGAAATATTTCCCTCGACGGCCGCCGAACGGTGCCCGGCGCGAAAGTTAGTTTTGATTAAAAATTCGAAATCTCCCTTAATTGATAATTGTGCCCTCGCTCTCGCGCACATATATCGCCCGCCGCGGCACAATTCCAGCTGCTACACCGGAAACCAGATAACCAATCCAATTGCGCTTCGTCTTTTATCCGCAGGGAGTCTTTGGATATCAACTGGACCAAACCGATTTTCGGGGGAGTTACGGCGATTATATATTCCCCGTCTGGGCGGGCGCGCTTGGAATTGGAATCGGACTAGCCACTTTGCTGCCGTTGCCGATCTTTTTTATCCTAAAATTCTGGAAAACGAAGGTGAGCCCACTTAGCAAATAAAAGATCTTGAAGTTTTCGTTGACCTGCTAATATTTGTCTTCGGGCTCAGGTAGGAATTTATGGTGTATACCTGATTGTAAAAGACTATTTTCGAAGCTCATTTTCTTCTGTTCCTCCTTTAAAATACCTTTGAATCAGTTAGCTCTTTTTTTTTTAATACAGAAGAGAGCCTGTTTAACGCTTTGTTCGCTTTATCTTCTTCCTTGAATAGATAAATTCAAAAGTCTGGTACAATATTTGTCACACCTGTCTGCCTCGTGAAAATTTATGAGAGTTTTTTCTTTATTATTTTTTTTTGTATTTTTGAAATTTTTTACTTATTATTTTTTTATATTTTTAAATATCTAACTTAAAATTTCTTATTTACTCCTTTTACATATTTATATTTTAACCATTACTTCATAAACATTTTGTTATTAATAAAATGTAATGCCTCATCAACAAATATAGTTAAATAATAATACTTTTTTTATTCTAATAGCTAATCTCTATCAGTATCTAATTATTTTTTCTGCAAAAATTATTACGCACATGCATATACATACACAATCCTAAAATGAAATAAACCTATTTATTTGCCTTTATTTAATTAATTCAAAATTTACTTAAAAATATTTTTATTCTTTTAATTATTTATTTTTTGTACACTGTGTCATTTTATTAAGAAAATCAATAATTTCTGGACATTTGATATTATTAATGTGAAAGTAAAATATATACTTATACATTATATTCCTCAAAGTAAAAAAAAAAGAATAATTGATTTTGATCAACAATTCAGATATGACACACTATGCATTTAAGTCTTAAAATTAATTTATTTTCCACAAGACACATTTATCAAGCCGGCGCGGCATGAAAGGCATCAACTTTTCAGAAAAAAGTTCGAGCGGAGATTTCTTAATAATCAGTATTCTTCTTTGTTGCTTAATGACTTACCGGTTGGCCATCTTCAAGAAAGGGAGATTGTTTTATTAGGAGATCGGGCCATTAATTTTCGCTAATGAGAAAGTAGAAGCGACTGCGGAATCATTGGATCTCTCACCAATTTTGACCAACTTGTCTCATTTCCTATGTATGATCGATTAATCAGAGTGAAAACTTTCGCCATTATCGCATCCGGCATAAAGTATAAATTATTATAAATTATTCTTTTCGGAATTATTAGTGACAGGCAAAATTCCTGAAAATTCTTTCACTGAAATCTATTTAATTTGATGCGTGCATTATATAATGCATTAAAAAAATTGTTTCCGTTCAAAAGCGCGAAGAAACTGTGAGATAATGCCAATGTCGTAGCTGCATTATATCGTATCGCGCTATTCCCAATATCTCGATTAGAGTGAGAATCTCCCCGAAAGCTACGTGCCGCTGTCGGCGCGGTAGCGGTTACGGGCCGATTTAGAAGTTGCGGTCCGCGCCGTAAAATCTCGAAAACTCGGGGAACGTCTTAATACAAGTTTTTCCACGGTACGTTGGTAATCGTACTTTGAAACGAAAAGTTTCTCGGCGGTGAGGAAGGGAAGGCTGCTGCCACTCTCTCCATCGCCATCGCCGCAGGCACAGGGCCGCGCCGGAAGCCGGCGTGCAAATCGCGCGCGTCGCACAAAGAGCGCGACCCGTACAAAGCCCGAGAGTCGCCAATTGCGAGTTTTAACGAAATTGAAAATACACAAATTGACATATGTTTAAAGGAACATTTTACGGGATTAAATTTTTTGATTAAACTGACGATTCCGTTATACGTACGAATTTTCGCCAACAAATGGAGCGTATCGCATTGTATAAATTGTTTTGCAAATAAATGCGCGAACATTGCGAATCTCTATATCGAATTTTTTTCGCATTTTTAGAT